TTACTAAAGCCCAAACCTTTTTTTTTTTTTTTTCTAAAGTTACTTCAATTAAGCTTTTTTTCCTCAGCCTTTTTTCACGTTTGTATTGTTTAATTGTAATCTCCACAGGAAGGTTAACAGCTATACAATTACAGGAACCGTCATACCCTACTGTGGAGAGCAATTGTAATTTCATGGCTTCAGTACAGTGATAGCAGTAATCTGAGGCTGCAATACTTTACCAGTACCTCTGTACCAACAGTATGATTTGTAGTCTACAGCAAGCGTGAAACTGAACAGACACTGTTGTAATTGGATTTTGTTTACTTATGTGTTTATGGGCTTGTAGCATACAGGTTATGCTGTGTCGAAAAATAAATTGTCAGTACAATTTTTGCTCCCAAGATAATACAGTTAAAAAGGGTTTTCCGCCTATAGCTTAAATCTGCCACCCTCTGTCTTTGTAGAAATTGATTTTCATTGCTGCTATCTCCCCGGGTGGTTGAATGCTAATCCATTCTCTCTTTGGCTTTCAGATAGAACTGACACATGTATATGTTGCTTGCTACAAGGAAGGCCAATGGCACCTTGCGGGCGGGAGACAATATTTACAGTGCTAATTGATTCCTGGGGAAGAGCTTAGTGATATTTTTTGTGACTAAAGTTATTTTCCAAATGTACACTGTATTGCTGTTCTGTGTTGTGCAAAACTAGTTTGAACCAATATTCATGGTTGTTTTACCATGTTATGCAAGAGAACCATGTGGTCAGTGATGTAGAGAGAGAGAGCGAGAGAGAATGGTTTAAGATTTAAATATGACTTTATTTAGCTATTCTACTCTAGTTGCTAAACTGGGAATTGAAAAGAAGCAGTCATTATAGGGCTTTTTATACCATGTATAGCATAGTTACCTTTGCCATGGGGATAAGAGTCCACATTCCTTGTGTGCAGGTAACATTGGGTGGTTGGGACCATTACTTTTTTCCCCTTCTTTGTCCATTTTTACTATCTTTTAAATCCCGTATATCTTCTTGTCTATATGCATGTGCAAGTACCGTGGAGCTGTACTTCCATGCCCGCTTTGATGTAAGTACTGCAATTCTCATGTAAGCACTGCAGGTCTCAGAAACCTTACCGTTACAGTTGCAAATCAACCTTGCTCTCCTCCTCACCATTCAATAAAACAGGTTTTGTGAATGGCCAGGAGAAGAGGGATGTGGAGATTTGACCATAGCCCTGAGGTCTATGAAACCTGCAGTGCATACATGCGAATTGGCACAGAAGTATAGCGGAAGTGGAAGGTAGCGTTCATTATGGGAAGTTCATTGTGCCCAAAGTTGTGCATTAAGTGAATAAAAATGGTTTTTATGTAGGCTTTTTGGGGTTTTTTTGTCTTTTTTTTACTGCCGGGGACTAGTTAGAGGTAGGTGGCAGGAATTAGGGAGAATCTGGAGATCAGCTTTAATCATTCACCAACAGCACATTTACCACACAGCAAATACAGCAGATGTTTCTAGCAAATGTATGTATGAATTTGCAAAGATTTATTTTTTTCAAATGTGTCCCTTTTTCTCACTTTCCTTGTTAGTATTTCAAAGGTCTCTTTAGTGCTCCAAAATACATGTTCACAAGTTAGAATGTAGAATATTCCCTTTCCAGAAGCAATTTTTTCCCCCATAAAAATATAAAATAAAAATGGAGTTACTGGATTTCAGGTAACTGTCTTTGACTTTTGTTTCATCCACCATTTAAAATAGCCGACTACAGAAAAAGGAAAAAAAATAGGTTGTTGGCCTTTTTGCACTCACTAGAAAACTGCAGTCAAAGTTCGTTGCAGAAAATGAAGTGCATGTTTTTAAGTGCTCACATTTCTTTCCAAGAGAAAAGAGATGGTCTCTGATTCATACAGCTAACTGAACTGACATTTAGCCAACTGTTGCTCATGAAAAAGGAATCCAAGGGTAACTCAACTCATTTAGAAATTGATATAACATTTATATTGCTACACAAGGTTTATTTTGTAATTTAGTTATAAAATGTCGATTACCAGTTCAATCTGCAACAAACCATACATTTTTAAAACGTGGAAATAAAACACAATTGTTGTATACAGACATTCTGTGAAACGAACAGAAGTGTAATGTTCTGCTTGTGTGATTGGTGTACTGCTCTTCCCAACAATTTATCTGTTATTACATCACTGCGCCTGACCAAGGGCCTGTAACAGGAAGACTGTCCTACTCAGCATTTAGGAAGTGACTGCAGAAAAAGGAAGTGGGGGAAGTAATTTGTGAGCTTCCATACAATTGGAAGCAGGCAGGGATAACAATACATTTTAATCAACCACTTGCAATGCACACAACTGATATGTGGATTTTTTTTTTAGGAAAAGTTATAGTTATAATATAGTTAAATTATTATTTACTGTGATTTAAAGCAAGAGCAGATAAGAAAACTAAGCTTAGTATGCACGATTTTCATAAGATCTTAAAAAACCTGTTCCCCGTATACCATATTACACAAATAACCACAAAGAACATACTGAATCATGCAGAACCTTAGCACTTTCTGCCTTAGGCTATATCTATATAATTCATAATAATGATTTAGAGGACCCAACTAGAAGTGTAAGTGGTAAAATAGTCATGTTTATGCAGTTTCACTCTAATGCAGCTTGCAAAGAAACAGCACCTCCAACAAACCACAGAAAAAAATTACAGGAACATGTATGATGTGAATGTGCTTTTCATGTAGTGTCCAGTGCAATTGCAGTTGTCTTAAATTTAGGGGCAATTATCTATCTACATGATTGATCACTATGGACATCTACAGAAGTGACTAAAATATCTAAAGCTAATCATTAGCACCCATATATGCTGCAAACACCAACTCTAAACCCCAACCCCCCCCCCCCCACACACACGTGCACGCATATATATATATATTTTATACCTGCAATATTTCAGAAGTTTAAGCTAAGTCACATCGCAGGGTCCATTTCCCTTTTGACTTTTCTTTCCCCCTGGGTGGTCCTCAGTGATGCAGAGACTGTTGCAGATGTGGTGATTTCAGCATTTTCTCTGTATCATTGTACTGCGAGTGCAGTGTATTCTGGTTGCTTCCCCCAGGGGGGTCCATGACACTCCGCAATCCAGGAAGTGGGTTGAATGACACCGGGCATCATTCAAACTGGAAGAAGAAAGGAAAGAGAGTGAAGGTGAGTAATGTAGTTAGTGCTTCAGTTTATTTTTAGAAACTGATTTTAGAAACAAGGAAATGTTAACAACACCTTAACTTTGGCATGTTCGTTCAACTTCTTTTTTTTTTTTTTTTTTTAACTTTTTAAATGTGCATATTTCATTAAAATATCTGATTCCCCTGTCATGTTCAGGCACTTTCTGTCATGGGGTGACAAATGTCTTTCAGTTGTGTTCCTGCCTGTGACTGTCACATGTATCCCTTGTGGAATCTGCAAGCAGTACTGACGCACACTGAAGAGACACGGTCCACTTTTGTCACTATTAATAAACCTCTCAAGAACAATATTGCACAACCAATGCTGGAGCAAGTCCATGTAAAGAGGTAGTGGCCGAAAAAGACTGGAGGAGATCAGCAACACTGAGATGCACAAAAAAGTTTAAACATTTTTTATACAAAACAAAAAAAATTATATTGCTTTATTATTCACAGTGCTTTAGTAAACTAAATGTCATCCAGTTAGGGTTCAGATCTTCTTTAACTCACTTAACGTTAAAACCCTAAGTGGTGCTGCAATTGTAATGGGACACCAGTAGAAAGTTTGCTATTGCCCTGGGATGCCCAAAAATATTTAATAAACCAGGTTCTGCACTTAAGGGCTTATAATCTGAGAACCCCAAAAATCAATTCCAGGGTCAATAAAAGTAGGCTGCATTCGTCCGGGTTACCGTATATGTTTGCTACGCATTCAAATATCGAAATGTTCTTTTATATGAAGTCATTTCATAGTTACATAAATATTTGTGGAATGCGTGTTATTCAGTGGTATTTGGTTTTGGCTAAATTCATGCACATTTAAAACGATTAACAGGGATCATCAGAGCACTTGGCTTTAAATAGGAGCCCTGGCTGGGAAATCAAAGGCATTGCACACATCAAGACACTTCAACTCCTCAATACAGTAGCAGGATGACAAATTATTCAATTGGTTTCACTATATATTCATCAGCTATCTGCAGTCTACAACAGCAGTGCTGATGTAGTGTACTAGCTATGCTTCAAATTATATCTGACATCTGTCAATGATTTCCTGTGACCTTCCGTGTCTCGCTGATTTTCATCAGCTTTACAAGTTTCACGTGTTTTTGAAAGCAGAGTAGGGAGATTAGACTTAAATCTGACATCTGCAACAATTTCAGCTCTTCGCCCAGACAGTTACCTGATGTATAAAGAGGAAAGTTGGCATTTTTAGAACATTTTTATTTGGGTTAACATTGGAAAGAGGCTAATTCTGAATTAGCAAAGTGCATGTTTAAATTACATTAATATAAAAGCAAGATGAAGCTTGGTAACAAATGCTACTTTCAATTATATTTTTCCCCCCAAAATGACCACTGCATAGGTAATATAGCATGGAAAGGGTGAATGGCTTAATAAACATTGATACAACAGTGTCATGTGATCTGGTGCCTTATTAGGTAATCTGTAATATTGGCACAACTATGTAGACTCACCCCTCTATCATTGTGTTTTAAAGCTTTTTTCTGACTGCTATAAAAATACACACTTGGGACTTGTAAGACATATTGGGCCATGTATATAAACCTGTCTGATAAATTGGATTTTCTCTGTTACCCATAACAGACTATAATTTCATTATTTATGCTGCACAACAAATATGAACTGAAGAAGGTGATTGTTCACTATGGGAAACACAGATCATTCAAACATTTTCATACATTGGAACCATGTAGCATCAAACTTGATCTATCATATGATGGTAATATATGCTAACTATTATTCTCATTTTCCCTTCTTGCAGGGTGAATGTTCTCAGAAGTGCTACAATATTTTTGTTCTAGAGACAGTTTGCGTGGCTTGGTTTTCCTTGGAGTTCATCCTACGCTTTATCCAGGCTGAGAGTAAGTGTGTATTCCTAAGAACACCGCTTAACATCATCGACGTGATGGCCATCTTGCCTTATTATATCACTCTGATAGTGGATTCACTATCAGGAGAAAAGACTGGAGGAACAGGAAATAACTACTTGGAAAAGGTGGGACTAGTACTTCGCGTACTGCGAGCTTTGCGCATCTTTTATGTCATGAGGCTAGCAAGGCACTCTCTTGGACTGCAGACCCTTGGACTCACAGTCAGAAGGTGCACCAGAGAATTTGGGCTACTTCTTCTGTTTTTGTGTGTTGCTATGGCACTGTTTTCTCCTCTTGTATATCTTGCAGAGAATGAGCTAGGTGCCAAACAGGAATTCACCAGTATCCCTGGAAGTTACTGGTGGGCAGTAATCTCCATGACAACTGTAGGCTATGGTGACATGGTTCCGCGAAGCATCCCAGGACAGGTGGTGGCCCTAAGCAGCATACTGAGTGGTATTTTGCTTATGGCATTTCCTGTGACATCCATATTTCACACATTCTCTCGCTCTTACACCGAACTGAAAGAGCAGCAGCAAAGAGCAAGCAGACAGATGCACATACTAGAAGAAAGAGAGTGCACTGAGTAAGATCTCCACAAAGTTGAGCATCTAATGGGTCTTCGGTGATTGCAAGCAGTATCATACACTGTAGAGAACTATTCTTTTATAAGGGTACTAAAATATCAAACATGGAACAATTTTAAACAGTTTCATTGAACATTTGTTCCATTCACTTTTGGTTGGATTTTAAGTTAATTGTAGATTATGACTTGTTTTCTATTAATCTAATTAAATTGCTATATTTGGTTACGTACTGGATTAATATAAAATATAAACTTAAATGACTTTTTAATTTCATTTCCAGTTTTCTTCAGACAACTGAGAATATCTACAGCATTATTTAGACATTGAACTTGCTTTACTGTAGTCTTGTTCTTTTAAGAAATAACAAATTCTTCACTGAATTCTGTCTTATTTTAAGTCTACATTTTGAAGTAAGCTTTAAAGGAAATCAGATTTATTTAAATTAGTATATTTATATGTTCATATTCTAGTGTAAATTAGTTTATATTTTCACAGACTGCAAAAATGCTTTTCCTGTAGTAAAGGAAATTCAGCTTTAAACTAAGTTAATTTATCAAGTATTTGCCCTTGTTTTTGTTTTAATTATCTTTTTTCAAGAGGAAGATACATATGAGTTTATTCAATAAATGTGGCGCTAAGTGCAAAGTACAGTAGCTATAACAGCCAATCAGAATCAATCCTTTACTGGTCTGATTTCCGTAAAGTGGATTCTGATTGGGTGCTATAGGTTACTGCACTTTATGCTTTCTCTTTTTGCATTGTTTGTTGAATAAGGCAATAAGTGTAAAATGTAGATAAAGTATACAACAATCAACACTAAATTAACTTTTGTTCCCAAAGCTTAACTGAGTACCATGTCACACATGTGATTCTGTCGCTCACAAAGAGCAATGCCTTGTTCATCCGGCTATCAAGGGAGTGACAAGAACCAAGTGAGTGTTTCTCTCTGCTCTTTCTAGTGATTCTGTCATGGGTGACAAGTTGCCAATGACATAACTGCAAGTCTGTCAAGGTCCTTAGAGAACATGATTTTTATCAAGGTTTACTATTATATGCTAACTAAAATTTTCTTTGGCTGTGACTCTGCTGAACACCATGATGTATCTTTCAAGGCCTATTCACACTATTGTGTTGTGGTAATGCACGGTACCATAGGGAATGCTACCTCAATGCAGATCAACGCATTACATATGTTGGTGTGATGTGGTGCCATTCATCCATGGATTTTACCCAAATGCACAAAGACACCGTACCTGCATTGTAGCACACCGCAATGAAGGGGAACATATGGTACTGTATTACCATGAGCTGTGTTAGAAAAAAGGTGTTGATTTTAGGCATGTTAGAGTGTGTTTGGAGCCTATTCATTTTAAATACGGTGCCTTAATGCAATGCATATAACACAACATAACATACATTAAGCTGCATGCATTAATGTGCAAAAAGTACATGTGCCCTCAATGTTAGGACAAATAGCCTTATTCAATATAGAGGGCAAGGAACAAAGTCCTAATTCTTAAGTATGGTAACCCACAGCCATCAGATTTCACAATGCTGAAATTAGACCAGTACAAGATGATTTCTGACTGGTTTCCATAGGACATTTTGGAGCGTTGCCTTTTGAGGCCCAAAGCTGATCACAAGGATTGTAACAAATTATAGGTACCTAGCTATATATTGGAAAAGGGGACCCTCATTAGTCACAATCCATCAGGGCATTGCAAGATTGTCCCTAACTATAAATTGTGCCTGCAATAAATGCAGAAAGTTGCAGTCAGCTTTTAGGTCAGCAGCAATACTCCCTGTCATCCAATGTGCAAATAAGAAACTGCCCATATAGTGGTGCCATTAAATATATTGTGATGTATGGTATAATTATATTACTAATGATATTGCAAAAAAAGGATGAGTTAAACAGAAATAATTATGTATTATGGTTAATATCAAGCTACATTTTCTCAATAACCATCATGATATAGAGTGAAGAACAGAGCAACATGTTCTCTATTGGATGAGTATAATAATAAAGTGAGCTTAAAGTTTGTCGAAACACAAAATCCAACATTTAATATATGACAGCCCTAAGATGTGGTGACTTTTTGAGCCTTTTTCCTTTATTTTCACTTGGTGATCCTGCCAGTAACACACTTCCTGTTCCAGGGTGGCAACACTTAAATAATTGTACAATATCTATGAAGGAGACGTGTTATTAATGTAGGCTGCTCTGCAGATTTGGACTAAACACCTTCACCTCTCCTCATCTTTATTACATAGAGGAGACTTGTTTTGTAGTTTACAGAAGATAGCTGGAAAAGCTGATAGCATTGCTTGAAATTTTCAGTTCAGACCTTTCAAGGATCAACAAGCATCCTGCTGTCACATGTCCTTAGAAATCGACCACCGCACTGGCAAATGTCCAAATAGTTTCCCAATCCAGAAGCAGGTAGCAACCACAAACAACACACACACACAATCCAAGGTGCCATCACTCACAAGTTACAGGCTTTGAGGATTCTTGTTTCTCACAACCTTTGTCAGTACACTTTAACCTCTAGCAGACTGACACACAGGCTTCTGCAGACCACACGTTGATCTCACTAGCAGGTACCGGTTAGCTAGCAATATTAGTTAGCAGACAATATTACTTTCAGAGTTAGTGTAAACACATGCTCACAATCTCTTACCGTTAGTCACCGCTTGAGTGCAATTATACTGAAATCTAGCTGGCTGGACACACAGGCAGATGCAAAATATCATACACAAGCTTGTACACTGAATGGTTATGTATCAGCTAGGTGAATCCTCCACTAGGGTTGCCACCTGTCCAGGATTCACCCGGACAGTCAGGGTTTTGAATGCTGTGTCCGGGTTTCATGGCAGCAGAAACCCGGACACAAGATGTGAGGCAGACAGGGGAAGCCAAAATTAAGATAGGGGCTACTGGCACCCCCCCCCCCCCCCCCCCC